GTGGCTTACTATTAACACTGTTATTGTTGCTGTTGTTAAGTGCCTTTACTCACAGTGATCCTGTATAGGGTTTCCAAGGAGTGTGTGGTGAATTTGAGCCACCGACCTTGTGATTCAAACCAATCTTGCAGTTGAGTGCTTATCCTAAAGGGACACACCAGGACTAGAAATTTAAAAGTGCATAAGAGTTGCAATTTAGCTAAAATAGACAAATTACTGGAAAGATACAAAATTGACAGACGAACAGGAAATCTGAATAAACAGCAAGTATAACAAAAAAAATGGAATTAGTAGTCATTTAGCATAGAAAAGCATAGGTTCTGATGGCTTTATTAGTAAATTCTTTTAAAGAATAGCGCCAATCCTTCCCAGTCTCTTTCAGAAAATTGAGGAGACCAGTATTAAGACCAGTACTATTCTGACCAATGCCAGACAAAGGCAGCACAGACCAGGATATCACAGCAAAAGCTGACTAGGATCTCTGCTGATAAGTGCCATCGAGTTGATGCCAGCTCATAGTGACCCTGTGTCGGGTCTCTGAGGTACAACTGCTGGGTTTGACTTTGCGGTTAGTAGTTCAATGCTTATCCTACAGTGCCATTCCATCTCAATAAATTATTAGCAAATCATGTTTTGTTATTATATTTAGCAAAACTTAATAAGGATTATGCACTGTGACCAAGCGAACTTTATCCCTCTCAACATGTTCCTCATTAAAATGAATAAATATTGGTATCATTGTACAATATAATGTTATTAGAAATGAGAATGGACATTCTACATGTACATACAAAATGTGGATGGATTTCACAATGTCGAACAAAGAAAGCCAGAGACAAAAGAGTATATACTGCATTATGTTGATAAAATATGCAAAACTAGTTCAAAGTTCAGTGTTTTGTTGTTGTTGTTAGGTGCCTTGATTGTAACTTGAAAGTGAAGAGTTGGGCAGAGAAAATCTGGGTTCAGTAGTGGGTTTGTCATGTGATGAAGTCCTCAAGAGAACATGAGATGACAAAGTCAAGGTACAGGAGGAAGGCTGAAACATATTAAAGGAGGGGTTGGCTAAAAATGCAATGAGAGAGGTAGGCAGTTGCCAGAAGTAGGCTATCTTAAAGACATTGAGCTTAATCATAAGAGCAATAATGAATCATTAAAAAGTTTTTAGCAGGGAAGTGAGATAATCTGATGTGCATTTTTTTTTTAAATGACTCCAACTGCAATGTGGATGTGGGAGGCCAGAAAAGAGGATTTGGCTGTAGTCTAAGAATATGATGGTAGTGGTAAGTATTGGAGTGCTGACAATGGAGATGGAGATCAGAGGCTATGGATCAGAACCACTTGATGGCACTTAACAATAACAACAACAGCAACACATGTTTAACATAGAAAGATTCGTACTTTCCCAAATAAGATCAGGGATAAAACAAGGGTGTCTTCTCTCCATGATTTTATTCAACATCTTAGTTGAGGTTTTAGACAGGATAATTGTTGTTGTTGTTGTGTGCCGCGGAGTTGGTTCCGACTCATAGCGACCCTGTACAGGGTTTCTGAGGCTATAAATCTTTACGGGAGCAGAAAGCCTCATCTTTGTCCCACGGAACAGCTGGTGGTTTCGAACCACTGACCTTGCGGTTCATAGCCCGATTCATAACCACTACGCAACCAGAGCTCCTTAGACAGGATGATTAGGAAAGGAAAAAAAGGCTATCCAGATTGGAAAGGATGATATACCTTTATTTGCAGAAAACATGATCTTATGTATAAAAATCCTAAGGAATACAAATACAAAATAAGAACTGTTAGAACTAATACTGTTATATTATATTTAGAAATAATGAAAAATCAATATTCCATGAACTTTTAAAAGTCCCTGTCGTATTTCTGTATACTAGCAATAAATAGTTTAAAAGTGAAATTACGGGATGATTTTATTTATCATATCGTTAAAAAGAAAATATTTAGAAATAAATTTAACAAAAGAAGTTTAAGATTTGTGCATGGAAACGTGAAAACAATGTTGGAAGAAATGTAAACAGATATACATTAATGGAAGGGCATACCATGTTCAAGGATTGGAGTATTTAATATTTTTAAGATGACACTACTCTTCAAAGTGATTTACAGATTCAACTAAATCTCAGATGATGTCAGCAGAATTGACAAGTAGATAAAATTCATATGGAAGTGGTAGGGGCTCACAACAGTCAAAAAAATTCTTAATAAAAAAGAATAAAGTTGAGAACTCACATTTCTCAATTTCAAAGATATAGTAATCAAATAGTGTAGTAATGGCATAATTCACTGTCATTGAGTCAATTCTGACTCATAGAAACCCCATAAAACAGAGTAGAATTGCTCCTTTGGGTTTCCGAGGCTCTAAATCTTTATGGGAGTAGACAACCTCATCTTTCTCCTATGAAGCAGCTGGTGAGTTTGAACCACTGACTTCAGTTAGTAGCCCAGTACTTAATTCGCCATACCACCAGGGTTCATTGTGGTAATAGCATAATTATAGATTTATACCTCAATAGAATAGAATTGAGACTCAAAAAGAAACCCTTATGTTTATATTCAATTGATTTTTGACAAAACAATTTAATGAGGGAAATAATAGACTTTTCAGATGGTAATGGTACAATTGAATATTCAGTATCACATGCAAAGGAATAAAGTTGGACTCCAATCTTACCATAAACCAAAAATAACTCAAAATAGGTCATATATCAAAATCTAAGAGCTAAAAGGATTCTTGGTGTAGTGCTGTGGGTTAATACGCTGGACTGAAAAGTCACTTTGAACCTCAAGATCGGCAATTCAAGCTCACCAGCTACTCCTTGGAAACCCTATATAGGGTTGCTATAGTTTGAAATCAACTCAATGGCACTTAACAACAAGAACTAAAACTATTATAACTCTTAGAAGAAAATAAGATTCTTAGATATGACACCAAAAAAACATGAGTAACAACAAATCAAATTCATCAAAATTAAAAACTGTTGTGCATCAAAGGATGTTGTTGTTGTTGTGAAGTGCCGTTGAGTCGATTCTGACCTATAGCGACCCTGTATAGGGTTTCTAAAGAACAGCTGGTGAGCTTGAACCACCAACCTTGCAGTTCAAATGACTTTGCAGTGTGATGCATTAGCCTACAGCGCCACACCAACTATCAAGGAAATGAAAAGGCAACCTACAGCCCTGGCTGTACATCAGAATCACTGGTGGATTTCTTGGGCCTCCACTCAAGGAGAATGTAAGTCAGCTTGAGAGCTGTGCTCCATGGCGGATTCCGGGTGTAACCAGAGGTGAAGTTAAGACTGCTGCTCTGGCTGCCTCTTCAGTGGGCCACATCCTCTTATACCGTCTGTTTTCTTTGCCAAAATGGTCTTCCTTCTCCTGACTCATATCAAACTCTGCTGAGATGTCATCTTCTCCAGGCAGCTCTCCTTGACATTCCTTACCAGTCCCTTTTCCCAGGTCTTGGTCAGTTTATTACACTGTGTTTGTCAGTTTGCTTGTTGCTTCCCCATGCTAAACTAAGTCCTAGGGGAGAAACCGTTCAATCCTGAGACTACTGGGTAGTAAGTACACTTTCTAGCACATAGCAAATGTTCAAGTGTTTATTGAAAGACTGGAGGAAGAAATCCATTCCTGTTTCCTTTGTGCTGTCTCAGACCATTGTGACTTAAAAAGCAGGAATCATTCCTCCTTGTTTGTATATTCACCCTGGCCATTCTCCATGACTCGCGCCTAACAATTTTAGTATCATTCCTAATTTATAATATCACAGATTGTCCTGAGCTATAATCCAATTTAGCCTTTGATTCAGGTCTTGACTTGGCTATTTATCAGTTTGGGGCCTTGGGAAAATTACTTATCTTTCAATAACCTCAGTTTCTTCATCTGCAAAATGGGGATGATAATGGTTACCTCATAGTATCATTGTCAGGCCCAATAAGACAGTGTTTGTAAAGTACCTGGCCATGGTAGATATTTATAAGGGCTAATTTCCTTATTTTAGGAGGTCCCATTGCATAATTGTCGTTTGTTGTTATGTTCCATTGAATAGGTTCCGACCCATAGCAACCCGTATAGGGTTTCCGAGGAGTAACTGGTGAGCTTGAACCTCCGACCTTGCAGTTCAAAAAACTTTACACCCCAGTGCATTAACCCACAGCGCCACACCAGGACTCCCATTGCATAATGGTTGTGGTGGTTATGTGCCGTGGAGTCAGTTCTGACTCATAGTGACCCTGTACAGGGTTTCCGAGGCTGTAAATCTTTACAGGAGCAGAAAGCCTCATCTTTCTCTCGTGAACTGCTGGTAGTTTCGAACTGCTGACCTTGTGGTTCACATTCTGATTCATAACCACTACACCACCAGAGCTCCTTAGAAAGAACTAAATCCTCTGGTTGCAAAGCTCAGTTCTGCTGCTTCCTGGATGTATATTTGGTCAGTTTATGAATCTCAGTAGCCCCACTTGGAAAATATGCTTGATAATGATTGTCCTTATTTTTTTGTTGGGAAAATGAGATGAAATTTGTTTTAAGTATCTAGCTAGTGCTTGGTATCTAGTAGGTATTCAATAAAATGATTGTTACTCAAAACAAAACTAGCTAAAAGGGAGCTTTCATATAGCACATTCTATAATTCTGAGGAGTAATAATATACTACAGTGTTTTCCTTGTTCCTAATGGTCAAAATGATTTTGGCGATACTGAAATTTTCTATTATATTTCCTGAAAAAATCCTGAGCCACCTGTAAATGCATTACTGGAAGCTCCCTTTTAATTAGTTTTCTTTTCAGTGCTGGCAACTGGCCTTCAGGAACCTGGGTTTATGTTCTGAGCACATTTTTTTTTTTTTCCTGTGTAACATTAGCATTTTGCAACTCAGAAGTTCACTGAAGAATTGAAATTCAAAAGGATTCTCTCAGGCACAGACCTTCTTCCCCCACCTGCCTCAACTAGAAGTATTTTCGGAGTGTTTTTTTCCCAGAATGTCAGAAGAACCCACAGCCTTGGCCTGTCATGTCCCACATGACCAAGAAGGACTGATAATTGTGAAGATTGAAGAAGATAATTATGTTTGGGGGCAGGAATCTGGTCTTCAGAGGAGCCCCCCAAGCCAGGAACTCTTTCGTCAGCGATTCAGGCAGTTTGGTTACTCTGACTCTTCTGGGCCCCGGGAAGCTCTGACCCGACTCCGGGAACTTTGCTCCCAGTGGCTGAGGCCAGAGACACACTCCAAGGAGCAGATCCTGGAACTGCTGGTGCTGGAGCAGTTCCTGGCCATCCTACCTGAAGAGCTGCAGGCCTGGGTGCGCAAGCATGGACCGGAAAGTGGAGAGGAAGTCGTGAGTGTCCTGGAGGAGCGGGAGACAGAACTCGATGAACCAAGGCAACAGGTACAAAGTAGCTTTCTTTATGGTTAGCCTATTGTCAGCTAATGGAGAAGTCATTATAAATAAGTGGGCATCGATTGGGCTATCAGAAGAGAATTATAAAGTTTATGATGTTTATTCTTCCATTGGGTTCAGGTCCCTAGCGTTTTTAGCCCTGGTGTTTTCTGTGTGATCATCTGAATAAGCTTCTGACTCTCCTGCCTGGCACTGGTACGCTAAGGATTTTCCTCTTGTATGTCCTTAGAATCATAGTGCTGGAACTTGATTACTCCTAGGGTACAGCTCATGGCCAGGAAACCATCTGGAAGGAAATGACATGTATGGGACCATTGAAGTCTGTGAGTAGCCAACGCCAGCCTTTGGAAAACTTGTGTAAGAGTGAAACTCACGAGTCCCCAGCTTCTCCTGAGAGAGGTGAGGAGCCACAATTCATTTGGGGTGAAGAATGGAGATGAGGGCTGCCATCTGTGGCTTTGTTCATTTTCTTGATTTTTTTGTTTGTTTGAAGAAGCAGGGGGCCTTTGTGGCTGTCATTAAGTATAGCAGAAAGGCCTTTACTTAGAAATATTCTTCCATTCGCTCTCCCACATCATATCTAATTTTAGATTAAGAATTAAAATGTCTATTAAAAACCTCTATTTCTATTTATACTATTCAAAGACCCATAGTCTGGTGTTTTAATAATATGATACCTTTAACAAGGCGATTCTTAGGATGGAGGTGAATACTGTATCAGTAGAGACCCCAGTCAGTTGATGGAAACCACATAGTAACTTGAACAGGAGAGTTTATTCTTAAGAATTAGTAGCTATAACAGGGAATCACACTATAGTGTAGAAGAACCCTAAAGAGCAGATCTAGGACTGAGGCAGAGCACCTAAGGAAGGTACACATGTGCAAGAGGGCACCACTACCCTTGCCCCCTCACCAGGACTAAAATCCAGATCTTGGTGGAATGGTTCAACTGTGGCCTGCGCAGTGGAGATATTTAGTGAAGTGCCACATTGGCAGAACTTTCTAGGAAGCTTCTCTCAGGTGCCTAGGGGAACCACTCACTTGAGGCAGAGAGGTGTGGTGCTCTGCTGCAGAACTCACTGAGAAATTGCCCTCTTGGTGCCAGAGGCTGCATATGGGGAGGGTCATGGCCCAGAACTTCCACCACAGGGATGGTGCCACTGAAACTTGCTGGGAGTGCTGGGTATTCCTATATGGCAGGAGCAAATAGAGAGAGAACATCAGTACCATGAAGAAAAGCCCCTTCCATCTCCATCATCTTCTAGCCCCATCTACCAGTTTACATCATGCCAGCCAGCAAGGAGAAAGGTTCCATGATCACAGAGAGGGTGATGAAAGGTGGATTTGAAGCTGAGGCAATAAACTGGCAGCTGTTCATAGCTATACTACAGTTAAAACCTGTGAAAGCTGTGATTTTCCAGGACGATCTTGTTTTCTGGATCTCACAAGGTTTTCACCATTGACTAGGTGCACTCTGACCATTTTTCTTTTGCTGGAAAAATTTCAGTGGAAAAATATTTGAGTTTCCCTTCTGAGATAGGTTTCTGCCTTACACATGTTCCAGCCTTTACAGTTTTACTGCATGACAAAAAGGACTTTATGTTATTGGCAAAATAATCCCTATGGGCAGCAGATAGATCAGGTTTATTAATTTGTTCTCATTAGACATTCTGATTTAATCTTCACCAAGCAGTCTTACTAACTTTCCATGAAAAAATGTGATAGTTCACTTTGGTCTATGTGACAGTTACATTACTCACTAATTCTCATTCCTGGCTTTGTCACTCTATTCTATGAACTTGGTTAATGAAAGTACCAAAAGACACGAATCTGTTCATTGTATACTGATAAAATTACGTTTCCACCACTTGTCTGTCAGGTTGTTGTACTGTGGTGGCTTGTATGCTGCTGTGATGCTGGAAACTATGCCACCAGTATTTTAAATACCAGCAAGGCCTCCCATAATGGACAGATTTCAACAGAGCTTCCAGACTAAGATAGACTATGAAGAAGGAGAGGCAGGCCACTTCTGAATGGTTAGCCACTGAAAATCTTATGAATAACAGCAGAAGATTGCCAGATAGAGTGCCGAAAGATGAGCCACTCAGGTTGGAAGACATTCAAAATAAGACTGGGGAAGAGCTGCCTCCTCAAAGTAGAGATGACCATAATGACATGAATGGAGCAAAGGTCTTGGGACCTTCATGTACTAGTAGGGCACATCTAAAAATAAAAACAAACAAACAAACAAAAACGGCTGCAAACATCTATTAATAATCAGAATATGGAATGTATAAAATATGGATCTAGAAAAATTGGAAGTTGTCAAAATGCAATTGCCACTGCTTAAGAATAAGAATAAGTTTGGAGGCCTGTCACTTCCCGACTTCAAAATTTACTACATGGCTACAGTGGTCAAAACAGCTTGGTACTGGTACAATGAAAGG